GGTTTAACCCTCAATGGGCTATTTCTTTTAATCGCAATACTAACTCTTTCCTCGTTGGCCGTGTGATTACTACCTATCCTGCTCCACGTAATGAAGCTCTTATTTCACATTGGATTGCGTCATCGGTTGACGATTTACTTTCTGAATTTACTGCATGCCAAGGTTGTGCCTCTGCTATTCCGCGATCCTCTACCTCTAAGACTTTGATTAAACAATGTCCCTCTGAAGGATGTTTCTCTTATTTTCCGTTATCAAGTTTGATCCGTTATCCTACGAAACCTCGTACTTATATACATGCGGATACTCGTTCGATTTCACTTTCTGCCTCAATAGGCTATGCCAAATCTCTTTTACTATTTCATCTTTTTGCTCCGGTTCGCTTACCTCATACGAATGAACTAGTGCTTAGGATTTCTGATATCCAACTTCCTTCTTCGGTGTTTACCCTTTATATTGATGGTTCCTTCCTTTCTCCTCCTAGTAATCCGGTATCCTCGATGGCTTATGCATGGACTGCTATAGATCCTGATGGATTTATTTTGGAATCCCATTATAATATCATCTTTTCCATTTTTCCTTCTGCTTTACGTTCAGAAGTTTTTGCTTTATTGCACGGATTGGACTCCCTTCCTCGGAATTCAAAGATTACTGTAGCCACTGATTGTGCTCAATTACTTTCTTTATGGTCTTTATATGTGGATGCTCCTTTTATTCCCAGAATGCTTAAAGAATCCAACCACCTTTTGTGGTCCTCCATACGCACTATTATGTTGCAAAAGAATCTGGATGTTACCTTGATCAAGGTTCCTACTCATGCTGACGACCTCTTGAATAATCATGTGGATGCATTAGCCAAAGCCGCTCATACTGACTCACATCTTTCTTCTTGCCCACCATTGGATTTGATGGCTCCTTGCATTTTACAATTTAATTCCTTACCTGTGGATATGAATATCCGGAAATTTATTAGAAATATTTTTGACGCCAAAAGTCTTTTAACTCTTGCTGTCTTACCAAGATTTAATTCCTATTCTTCAACTTCTGATATTGATTGGGCTTGCACCAAATTTTGTCTCAATAACAATAAGCATTTTGTCTCTCATCGGAATGGCCGTTCTGAGTTTTGTGGTTTCCGTATCAAGCTACTTTTAGACATGCTTCCAACGCTTACAACTCTTCAGAGACGAAAGCCTCATCTTTATAATCCAAGTTGGCTTTGTCCTCAATGTAATTCCTTTCCTGAGACTTTAGACCACTTGTGGACTTGTCCTTATATTTTACCGGAATTTAGCCCTTTACAAACTTTTAAAACATTACTATTGGCTCTTCGGACTACTTATCTTGATAATTTCCTTTCCGCGTCATCTTTAATCCCTTTACCGGACTCTTTTGCTGCTGAATTTATGGCTCTTAATTGTTGGGATTGTGACCCTCCTTCAATTTCCTGCCTGCGACTCACAAGAGGACTTATACCGATATCTTTGACAGAATTTCTTGGAATTTATTTTTCTTCACCTACCATATGGTCTATCTTAGATACACCTTTGCACGACTTTCATTTTGACCTTTATGTTCAAATCTGGTTGTGCCGATCCATTTTCTTTCATCATTGGGAATTAGCTCAAGGCATTACAAAAAAAATGAAATCGTCAGCTCTTGGGCCTTCTTCTATTCTTCGACCTTCCTCTAACATTCCTCTTGACTCTTCGACACCTTCCTTGGCGACAGCTTCCTTGGATTCCTGGGTTTCTTGGGTTTCCTCTTCTATAATCCGTGGGGGATCTTGGATTTCGCATTTGGATTTTTGGCGCCGCTTAACAGTTCAGCCTCTACTTAGGATTTCTTTTTGGTAACGGACTGGATCTTAGGACATGCTGGATAGTTGACTCACACTGGCCTTCGGGTAAAGATGGGGTATGCGTTTCTGTAATAGTTTAGTTTTTCTTTACTTAATTTTATTTTGTTTAGATTTCTTTACTTGTATGAATCGTGAAGCTAGTTCTTTTTATTTTTTATGTTTATTTTCTATATTTGATATTTGTAATATTGTTCGATCTGTTTATTGTACTTTTCGTTTAAATTTAATAATAAAAGATAAAGTCATAAGACTGTTTGCTCATAATCACCAAATATGGACTGTCCCAAATGTGTGACTATAAAGAGAGTTGACTGTATATAAATTTTATTTTACTTTATATTTTATTAAAATATACTTACTTTTTAATAATATATGTTAAAAATTCTATATATATGAGAAATGGGTTTTTTATTAGTGAAATGAGGTTTTTCACAGTTTTTTTACATTTAATAATTTAAGTTTTGCAAATGTAAATTTTTGTTCAACTTATTATTTAGTCAAGTGATCATCAATCAGATAATTTTTTGGTATTACAAAACAATTTTGAGTAACAAAAATTGTGAAAATCAATCAATAACTCTTTTTAATGCAGAGTAGACAAATCAGCCCATATGACTAGTACTCTAGCAACATTAAATTACATTCATTATATTATTATTTTTACCAATTCATAAAGGTTCTAATATCTATTTCTTTTGCAAATGTTGTTCCACCCTTGCATGTAACATTTACATCAACTGTTTGCTGATCCAATTTGTGCAAATTTGCAAGAATAGTACATCACCAATTAGTTTGTTTATCACTAGTAATTTCATTATTATAGTACTCTATACAATTAACATTAAGTTTGACATAGTGTTTAACTATTATAAAATTAACATTTAAAATGAAATTTTTAAGCAATGACCATGATGTATAATCATTTACAAGTTCAACTTTTTTGACCTTTTTTTTTTGAGATTGAAATACATTAATTACATCATCACTTGAAATAAAGTTTTTTATGTGTGTTTCACTAGGTAGTTTATCCAAAGTGCAACTAAAATATGCATGATAAATAAAAATTAAATAATAATCAATAATGTGTAATATAACTAATACATATTTATAACGATCCATAAAATCAAATACAATCATTAAACAATCATCGTAAAGACATGTTCTTCAAGTCGCAAACTAACTTTGACCTTTACTTTTTGCATTTGAGGCATTCAAAGTTACACTGAAATGATTGGCACAATTTCAGGCTAATGCAAGAATTAATTGTGATGTTGATTTCTAAATTCATATAAAAAGTGTTTTAGTAATAGTAATTTAAATTCTTTAATGCAAAATTTGATACCAAATGATAATGATATTTCAAATTTGTTATTTAACAATGAAATGGAATATAATGATAGTAATTTTGTAAATGAAAAAAATGAATATGAAAATCAAATAGTAGATAGTGAAACTAAACAATATGACAATAGTAATAAAATACACAATTTTTCCAAAAAGTCAAGACCTTATTTTTCTAATTTTACACATTTTTTATTATTTATGTGGATCACAAAACACCAAATAGGTACAGTATATTTGTATATTTAGATAAAATTTACAAATAATATAAATTTATTTTAATAAATACTAGGTTGCGAAGCATATCAGGATTTTTCAAATATTATCAAACATTCAGATTTTAATATCAGTGATGTTCTGTACTTTATTATCACAATTAAAAAATACCAGAATAGCTTACCATTAATTCCATTTAATGGTTATGATATTGAACTTAATGATCGTAATATTTTTTCAACATTAAAACTAACTCATCAAGTATTTGTATTTCAATTAAAAAGAACTTTACAACATATAATGCTAAATCCATCATTACGTGATCAAATGTATTTTGGTTCAGGTATTTATTACAAAATTAGACAAGAACTATGGCATGGTAATATTTGGCATAAATCACTATTATTTGGCACTACATATATCTATGTAAATAATGGTAAATATAATTTGATTATTACAACATTATAATTATCTAAAACTTATTTTATTTATAACCTATCTATTTATAATTATGTATAACCTTGAAGACTTTATTACATATTATAATAGAAATGTCAATACTTCTATTAACTATAGACGAATTATTGGTTTTATTATTTATGACAAAACTAAATGTTTTTTAATAAAAGCAGAAAGAATACTTGATTTTAATTTATTACCAAATCTTTTGAAATCTCGTCAAAGAAAAAATCAAATTAATAATACACAAAAACTTTGGATGACTGATGAAAATGAAATGATTGAACTCAATTGGATTGAATCTAAAATCAATATATAGCTTATGGATATGAAAAAACCTGACAATTATGATTATTGTATTGATGAAATTGTCTATAAGAGTAATAATAAATGGAATACACAATTAGTTGATCTTTGTCACAAACATCCAATTGAATATATTCCAATTAGGGATGGGAGTTAACTAATTAACTATGATTAATTAACTGTGGTTAATTAATGGTTAATTTTGTTAATTATGTTTAATTAAAATTGGTTAATTAACGGTTAATTTGGTTAATTATAAATTAACCAATCAAAAAAAAGATTTAAATCATATGATTATAGTTAATTTGACTTAAACTAACAAAATTAATACATTTGACCAGAATTATAAAGTTAATCAATGGTTAAATAACAGTTCATTAACCAAATTATAATTAACCGTTAATTTACTATCCCTAATTCTAATACAAAAAATTTCAGATGAGTTACCTGTTTTTAAATTTTTTCTTGATATTTACATTGATAAATTTGAACCATTTCATAATGCATATCATGCAATAGGAGGAATCTATTTACAAATTGGAAATATGATGCAAGTTATACATCAGAAACTTAAAAATCATTTTCTTTTAAAATTTATTCTTTTTGATGCAAATTGTAATGATGTTTTGAAACCTATAATTGAAGATATAAAAGAACTTGAAAATGGATTTGAAATGGATTTAGATAATAAATGTATTTGGATAACTGGTGGATTGGAAAATATTACATCAGACTTACCTAAAGGAAATGAACAAGCTGAAATTAAGAATCATAATGCTAACCATGGCTGTCATATTTGTACTTCTCTTTTCATTTTTCCATTTTTTATATTCTATTTTTTTCTGCAAAAGGCTCATATTTCCGAAACTAATAACCTTGTATCGCAGAATTTATCAAATTATTTGTGAATGGATCATGCTCAAAATATAATCATTGATATATTGGACTCAAGGGCATTCGTTTATCTTGATAGAACTAAAGAATTAAAAGAATTCTGTTGAGGATGATTATTTGATAATCACTCATCCTAAGCATTTGAAGCATTCAGATTAAACTTGTATTTTATAGAATAAATATTAATAAGAGATGTTCAACATTATAGAAATAAAAAGGCAGAGCAAGAAAAATTTTTTTTTTAATAAATGAAAATAGGATATCCATCAAATCTCAAACAATCAGATTTAATAAATGATAAAAAATTCAAATTTTCAAAATACCATAAGCTATAGCATAGCGGACATGCTTTTATTACTTTGCCGATTATTTTTCGATCATATAATATATCATGTCACATTAATTTTGAAGCTATGGTTAAAGCCATAAAATGCTTAGCCAAACTATACTAATGTCTTCAGTTTTTAATAGTATAATTTATGAAAAATAAAAAAAATTATATTGTCAAAGTTAACCTTAACCTGAAATTTCAATAATTTGATATTTGCCTATATTTGCCGATCATCTGCTAATTTGACTTTAGAGCTTCGGGCAAAGCCATAGATTTATGGGCGAAACTTGAAATTTTCAAAATATATTATTTAGGTATTCAAGAATCAATGGCCAAAATAATCATGTAGAATTTTAGGTAATCAAAAAGTTATCATTGAGCAAATGTTTATGAATATTATTAAAATACACATATAGACAAATTTGTAAAAATTTATTAACTGTTTAAAGAATTTTTTTTTGATAAATTTAGTATGCAGAAAATTTAAATAAATGTTAAATTTGTCTGTAAAATTATTATTATGTAGGATTTTCAACTGAAGTAATTATAATGAAGTGATAAAATTGAATAAATGATCAATAAATGATCGACAAAATTGTGATAAAGTAAAGATGTCCGCTATGCTATAAGCTATAAAAATACACTTAAAACTAGGAAGCAAAGAATATTCTAACTGAGTAATTTATAGTTGTAATATTTTTTTCATTTTTTTATAAGAAAATATTTTTAACGTTTCCTTTATATTTTTTTATAGATTTTTCAGGAAAATGCAAAGGGTAAGTTTTGAAGCATTCTCTTTGAAACTTTAAAAAAAAATTTTTATTTTTTTTATAAGGAAATGTTTCTAACGTTTCCTTTATATCTTTTTTTTATAGGTCTTTCTTTGGAAAATGGAAAATGCAAAGGGTAAGTTTCGAAACATTCTGCTTTAAAACTCTTAAAAAATTTTTTTTATTTTTTTTTATAAGGAAATGTTTCTAATGTTTTCTTTATATCTTTTTTTTTGTAGGTCTTTCTTTAGGAAACGCAAAGGGTAAGTTTCGAAGTGTTTGCTTCAAAACTTTTAAAAAAAATTTTTTTTATAAGGAAACGTTTCTTTCCTTTATATTTTTTTTTTGTAATTCTTTTGGCTTGTTTTCGTTCCAGAATATTGAAAACAGTAAGTTTTGAAATGTACGCTACATTTTGAAACTTTTAAAAAAATAATTTTTTATTTTCTTTTTAGGAAACTAACGTTTTCTATAATTTTTTTTGTAGAACTCAATATATTTAATTTGGAAAACGAAATGGTAAGTTTCAAGGCGTTTGCCTCTAAACTTTTTTTAAAAAAATTTTCTAATTAGTTTCTGTTAGAAAACGTTACTAATGTTTCCTATAATTCTTTTTTTATAGGTGTTCAGCTTCAGATCTTGGATATGGTAGTAAATATGGCAAGTTTTGAAGAGTTTTACTTTCTCTTCGAAACTTAAAATCATTTTTTATTAGGAGATGTTTGCTAACGTCTCCTTTATCCTTTTAGTAGGATTAAAGTATTGGCTTTGAGAATTAGAATGCATGCCATTTGACAATAAACAATCCAAATTAAGATTTGTTGTGAGTATCCCCATAGATAATGCATGCATAACATCTTTAGATAATTGTAAACCTATTCAGAAGTCCACAAAAAATGTGTATATGAAACGGAATTTTGAAGGTTAACTTCAAAATTTTTTAATTATTTGTTTTTAAAAAAACGTATCTAACATTTCAATTTTTTATTTTTTTTAGGACCGCAATAGTTCACAGATGGGAATTTGAAGGTAAACCTTCAAATTTTTTTAATTGTTTGTTTTTAACAAAATATGACTAACGTTTCATTTTTCTTTCTTCTTTAGATCTGTGGATTCCTGAATGTTTTCTGAATAGGATTTTAAAGGTAAAACTTCAAAATCTTTGATTTTTTTATTTTTAAAGAAACGATGCTAATATTTCTTTCTCTTTCTTTTTGGTAGAATGATAAGTTTTGTAACATCTGTTGCGAAACTTGTATTTTTATAATTTTTTTTAAAAAATGTTTACTAACGTTTCTTTTCTTATCTTTGTAGGTCTACAGGTTTTCAGGTAGACAAAATGATAAGTTTCGCAATGAACTGTTGCAAAACTCTATTTTATAATTTTTTTTTAAGAAATGTTTACTAATGTTTTTTTTTATTTTTGTAGGTCTATGGGTTTTCGGGTAGACAAAATGGTAAGTTTCACAATAAACTGTTGCAAAACTCTATTTTATAATTTTTTTTAAGAAACATTGACTAGCGTTTCTTTTTTTATCTTTATAGGTTTACGGGTTTTCAGATAAAATGGTGAGTTTTGCAACATCTGTTGTGAAACTTTGATTTTTTTTATTGTTAAAGAAACATAAGTACATAACTAACGTTTCTTTTTTTTCATTTTATAGATCTACAGATTTTTGGTAGGTAGAATGGTTACATTCCTACCTTGTTATTGTTGTATCACCAGAGGCGTTTTGTCAACGGAAATTTAATATGTTGATCGCTTAAAAATCTGCGGCAATCTAATTATAACAAGAGGTTAATTTCTTTAGATAATATATTTGTATTATTTGTATTGTACAATATTTTACAATTAAATTTTATATGTTATAATATATAATAATATATATGTTAATAAATTACTAATACTACAATTATCGTACAATGACTAAAAAATACTGTTGCTATACGCATTTTTAATATTAATATACATGTTTTTATATATTGTATATATGCTGTCTCTTATACACATCTAGATGTGTATAAGAGACAGGTATATATGTTTTTAAATTATCGTTGTTTTACAGTCAACTCTTAATATAACGAAGTTGAAGTTCAGGCTGATCAGGCCTTTGTTATAGGAATATTCGTTAATATGATGGGAAAATCTGGTATAATTCAGAAAATTTTTGTATATTATAGTATATTGTTTTATAATAATTGTATCTTATAATGCAAAAACGCAAGTTACATAAAATATTTTCATTATATTAAAAAAAAATTTGTTATTAAAAGGGGTATTTTTCATATATGGTTTATAAAATTTACTTCATCAAACGGTATACAGCATTTAATTAGTAAAATTCGGTATAATAAGATTTTTTTTATATGTTAAATTCTGTACCATACTGAAGATCTGTTATATTGTAAAATTCGTTATATCAAAATTCGTTATAAGAAGAGTTGACTGTACTACATGTAGCTTTACATTTAAATTGGTGTTATTTTACGCATTTTTAAACATTTTTAAGTAGTGTTGATTGACAAATGGTTCATTTTTCTACATTTTTTGATGTTGAGCAACACATGGCGTTTTTCAACACTTTATACGTCTGTTTAAAACTTGCTGATGATATATATATTCTTTTGTGTAAATATTGAATTTTAGAATTAAACCAAGTAAAAATTTCTAGAAGGGTGGAAATATTTTGTTTTATTGTATAAGAACACTTATTAATGTTCTTATTTGCTTTTTTTTGTAGACTGGATAAGAAGAGGACTATTGAAAAATAACTTTCATTTTTTATAAAGCTTTAAAAATTGGTGTGATATAGTTAAAACAAAGAACATTTTATTTTTATTTTCCAAAGTGTACATAGTTAAAATAAAGAACAATATGTGCAATACATTACACTATTAATAAAACAAAGAAATCACATAAAACGAATTTTATTGGTAAATAATTGCTTTTAATTTCAGCTAAAATTACAAACCTGAAAACTAATTCTATTCACTATAATCAAATATTATGTAATATGTCAGATATTTGTGAATTCTCTTTCCTTCTTTAATAATTATATCATATGTGTCACTTCTTTAATCAACAATTGGATTTACTAAAAGAATTCTGAAATTACATAAAGTAATTAATATATAGAAATTTGTTTATTGTTATTATTATACAAAATTATATATCTTTTATATCATATATGATAATCTGTATAATTTTGACAAAATAAAGTGTTTAAATAATTTTAATCACCTTTTATACTATATTTGATCTAAAAATATAATTTACAATTTATTTTAAAGATTATATTTAGGATTTTTCTATGATAAAATAATATTTTAGAATATTTTGAATATTACATAAATTTACAGTTTTGTAAAAATTATATAATATTACAACTAAAATATTTTATAAAAATTTATTTATAAATTTGTAACATTTCTATAAATACATTCTTTACAAGTGTATGTACTATATAAATTTTTTTTAAGTGTATAGTAAACCTAATCTTAACTTATAAGAGCTTTTAATATTTTACTTTCTATAAATGCATACCTTCTTTAAATGCACATTTACTATTTTTTTACTATGATTCTAAAGGGAGTGTATTTAAAGAGGTGTTACTGTAATACTTAATTTCTGTAAAAAGATGATTAATTAGAATAAAAGAAATTAAGTAAATGGCAATAATCAGATAGATAGTATGGTAATTATATAATTAGTATAGTAATTGCCATAATAAAAAAATGATTAATGTAATTATATATAGCTAAACACTATTTTCTTTATATCACTAGTTATTAATTTATATATATATATACTAAAATAGTATAGATAATTATAGTACTATAGATTATATGTAATATAAGTAAAGGATCCCGGACATCACATATATAACTCACATTTGAGTTTTAGCAAATTCAATCAAAATTAGGTTAAACTCATAATTTTAGAAAGAGCAAATTGATTGAAAATTAATTAATAGTCATACTAATTATGAGTTTTAGCAAATTGTATTGATTTTACAAAGTCATATTTTATATTTGAGCAAATTGGTACTTTTTTTTAAATTTAACTTATCCTTTGTTTTTAATTTTATAAATAATATTTTTAAAAATATTAGTTTCAGGGTCCGGGTCATATTTTGGCCAAAATTAAGTATAATTCCGGCCAAAATTAAGCATAATGCGGGCCAAAACCCGTCCGTTTAATTTCGCAACATTTTATTTTTTAATAATTATTTATTTAATTTATTATTTTTATTAATTATTATTTTATCTATAATCTACATATTTTAATTATAAAAATTGGCAGTTTAATTTATATTAATCATTTATTTTTTTATTGATAATAAAAAAAAAGATTATTAACTCATATTTTGAGTTTTAGCAAATTAGTATAGATTTGAAATGTGATAATTTGATTTTTAGCAAATTAGGTCTATTTTAGCAGGCAGGAGCAAAAAGTATAGTTGGGGACACAGCAAATCATCAAGTTGTTTCAAATTGAGATTTTAAAAAATCACGTGATATATATAACATTAATTTGCGATTGGTTAAAAATCAAACCATATCGGGAAATGTTTTACTTTATTTTATCATCAATATTTTCAAAAATAAAATCTGGAACAAATCTTTCACAGCTTTTTTTCTTTTTTTAGCTATTTTTTGACAGTGTTGTACTTGTCTCTTTAGTCGTACTATGGAAAAAAATTCTATGATCTGCATTACCTCTCAGCCAGTCATAGTTCTGACCTAAATTATAGAATTTTGTCAAATTCTGGCCGGAATTAGATGTTTCAAATCCTACTGTTTATTAAGAAAATACCAAACTTTGCAGGCTAATAACTTTTGATTTAGATCACCAATCAGGATAATCTCAACATCATTTTGTAGTTTAAGTTAGTAACAATTAAACTATGTTGAGTTATTTTAAATATATACATCCAAAATATTTTTATTAAATTTCTAATTTGGATAATTTTATTTGATGAATTGTTGTGTTCCAAACCATACTTAAATTCATGCAGATCAGTTATGAGTTATATATGTGATGTCTGGGGTCCTATAAGTAGTATAAAAAAAAAAATGTTATATGCAAAATAAAAAAGTGTATTTTTTAAATGAAGAGATTAATATGTAAATCAGATTAGATGTCATTTATATTGTTAAGAATTGCAAAATATGTACTGAAAATATGGAATTTATTAAAAGAAATAAAAATTTAAAAACAAATTACGATTATTACTAAATATATATAAAGTCATATGTCAAAAAAGGATCTTTATATCTATATCTATATCTATATCTACCATATAATAGGGGCTATAGTACCCTTCTACACCCCTCTAAAAAAATTTTGAAGAAATTTAAAATACCCAGATATTTTACATGGAGATTTTATCTTAGTTCTGGTAGAATTAGGCTAATTTTGGCCTACCCATGCACAGTACCCCCACAGTACCCCTTTATATAATATAGCCTCCAACTTCCTAAAATTTGTATCATACCTAGAGTACTATGACCCCATTATACAGTATATATACTATATAATAATTGTTTTTGTGTGTAATCGTAATGTTTAGAATACCCTGTAAAAATAAATTTGAATTGCGTAACTAGTACTTTGATCCATAGTGGTTTTATCTGGATTTTCATCTGGATTGAATTTCATTAAATTTTGTTGGCACTATGAGTTTGGCCAGAATTAGTATAAATATTTGGGATAATAATACTTTAATGTTGGTTTAAATTATAGTCTGTTTAAATCTGAAATTCATAATCTTTTTCAGCTATAATTGCCACATGAAAATATTCAAGTTTTCATCCGGATCGAAGCACTATGCGTAATATTGCTCCCATTGGCACTTTGTCACATGACGTTACACAAACTTCAAAAAAGGAAATTTTGCTTCCCACAAAAATTTTTGTTTCACAAATATTCCAAAAAAGGAAATTCCTGCGCCGATCACATAATTCCGGCCAGAATTAATTTTTTTCTCCCCCACCCGTTGCAAAGCAACGGGTGACTAACATGTACAAATATTTTTATATTATATTGCCTGTATTACCTGTTACATACAGGTTACGCTTTTTTACATGTACTGTATGTATACCGTTGCAAAGCAACGGGTTAACGGCTAATATTATTTTTTATAGGATAAAAGAGAATAGTAAATGATCAAGTTTATGTATATTTCTCTTGAATTATAATTGTACCATGGATATGATCTCTATTATAATTATCCGGAATCCTGGTAAAATAGCTCCACATATTGGAATGTAACATCATCGGGTACGATTTGTACTGGAATGTATATAGATTCAAAGAATTCATAAAATCAAACAGAAATCCAATTTGACGAATTGTTAGCTTTACATCATTATGGTTTGCGCAGGGATCCCCTTATGAAATCATATGATTTAAATGTGCACCAATTATTATTTAGTAAAAATAAAATTACATTTGCTTTTCGTGCATATCAATTCAATGATTACATTTAGACTTGAAGAATTAAGTAAATGATGGATATTACACATATTAATAAGAAATTAATTATCAAACTTACCTGACGAATACCATAAACTATCTGTGAATGCCTTTCATAATTTAATTTATCTTATTCGTGAAAAATAATATAATAAAAAGACGACACAAAATATCTAAATTAATGCTTGACATTCTACCAACATCTGAAAACATCCTGATTTGCTGATCCTCTTCAAATAGAGGACCACGATAGTCTATTATTCAAAAGTATATCTAAATGTCAATATATAACTAATCGTCATGATTATGATGATGAGGCCCATTTGGTGAATGGAATCCAGGTGGTGAATTTGAAGAGAAAATAAAGGATTCGATTTGATTTTTTGCAGTCTGTGGATCTTTTGAAATACTAACCAATTGGGATGAAATGTTAAAAAGGAAATTATAATAATAAGAAGAATAAAATACGAATAGATTTCTCACTGTGTTAGTTTGAAGTTATATTCATCATTTTCACAAAAAAAATATCGGGGTCTCCAATCAATTCCTTCAGCTTCTCGAAGTTTGGCTTCATTACGTTGCTTATCCTCAATCAATGTTTTTTCTTCCGTGGCAAGATCCAAATTTCTCCCTATTAAGGCGCTGGTTACTTTTGACCATAATCTATAAATGAATTTCACATATTTTAACCTTGTAGTATATAAATATTTACATCATATTTAAGACGTAGAAAGCTTATACCTCCGGGATTCATTTTCTTCTTGTTCTTCTTCTGGAGCCACGATCTTTGGATATATTTTAGATTCGTGAACATTAAATAAAACTTCCTTATGTCCAGTCTGTCAGTTTTTAAATAAATTATGTTAACATATGAATTTTAAAAATCATAAATAAAAATACATTATATACCCGAAGATCCTTAATGTACATGATGTCCGACCATTTTCCGGTAATTTCATAAAGGGATTCTCCTGTAGATTCACGCTTTATTTTTCCGTAGATTGAATTATACGCGCCGGTAAAGAAACCCTTATAAAATTGCATAATATCAAATATTATTACAATAACTGGAATTAATTTCAATCAAAAAAAGAGATTACCTTGGTTCGAAATTCTAATTCACAAATCAAATCATTCTTTTCACATCTAACTGTAGAATTATCACCTAATTCCAATACCATCCTTCCAAAAAGAATACCTCGTGCATACACATTTGGCATGGCAATCCGATAAACTTCTCCGGGACGATTAGTAAATATAATTTTAGATTCGCCTTGCATTAAAGTTGCCGCACTGTTCCCTAGGAATTTGGATTTTGGTCGTATGTCTCCAACAATAATTATGTTATTTTCGGGGCTTACATAATAATAAGCTGAAATCGGGGGATGATGAGAAACTTGTTCAGATACAAATAAAGCTTCAGTATTATCAGCAAATTGCCATCGTGCGCGAAAACGTTCGCCTAATACAGGATTATAAGGTTTTTTCACTCCCTGAAATGAAAATTTTCATTATTAAAATTTATTTTAAAAAATCCCATGTCTCTCTCGACCTCAAGCCAATACCTTTGGCTTTATATGCCATCCTGATAGGTAGTATCTTACTACATTCACAAATCGGTTAACAGGATCTTCTTCCTTTGGGACACTAAAGAAAAATTTTATTAATCAAAAAAAAAAAAAATTAGATACGCACAGTTATTAGATCTTGAGTGTCACAGAGTGACCCGTGTCTATAGTTTCATAGAACATGACCTATTCGATAAAGAAGAAACTAAAGAGTTTGTATCGGATCTACTAGTTAAAATTATTCGCAAAAGACATACTTTAAAATTAATTCAGGATGGCTCATAAAATCTGTGATCCTTTCCAGCATACTTCGCGGTTCTAGGACGAATGTTGGTAGGGTAACTCTATGTAAATCCATTCCTTTGCGTAATTGTGAGATGAGTCCCAGCAATATGCTACGTGGTTCCTCATCAAGAACCTCTGTATCGTTGGAATTTTCGTCGTCGGCCATTGTAGTCGAAAAATAAATTTAATAATCCTACGCCTAAATACAGTAGTTAATTATTTTTATAGTCTGCGTTGAATAAGTAGTAGTTGCGTCAGTAATTTCCTTATAAACTAGACGTTGATGTAACATCTGCGATAAGATGTCATCTGATTTTTCATAAGTAGCTATTTAATAGTTAAAAAAATTTTTTTTTTAACCGAAAATTATTTATAAAACTTCTTGTAAAGAAACTGAGAGTGCCTTGCTGTTTTACAATCTGAAACAAATCTTTTTTAGAACGATGAATGAAACGCGAAATCAAAATCAAAATATCTTATATCTGGAATCCCTTTGTCAAGGTTAAAGAAACCTCCCCTTTTTTGCTCACTAGCAATACGCGTGTTGCTCAAAATTTGGTTCCATTTCTTTATATGGTCTGTGGACAGAATTATATTCCCCAAAGTCTCAAGAACAACGCGCAAAGGCCGAAAAGTTACTAGACAACGCCTTTCCAACCTTCTCCGAGACTTTATCTCCACGTACCAACGGGTCAAATGGTTTGCCAAACAACCCTCTGGGTGTAAAAATTCAATCCCCAACTGAATCTTCCATGTATTGTCAATGGCTTTTGGAAAATTCAACCTCGCCGTATGCTCAATTATTTGCGTCGGCGAGGTTAAAGAGTCTGGTCTTGGATCATTATTCTATGTTCACATCGAAACAAAAATTAGAACTGAGTATGGGTTTGCTCAATAAAAAATTCTTTTTTTTATCCCTTTGGGATTTAATGCTTTTTTTTCGTATAGTTTGTTATAAGCAAATAAAAAGCGTGTTTTTTCACAAAATTATTTGTTCATCTCATTTTTGTTATTATTTTCTTTCTTTTTTTTTTAACATGAATTGTGATAATAATAATAAATTTTAAACAATTAAAAGGAAGTTTTTTATTCAATTATTTGGCTGTACATCCTGATTATCAGCCATTTGTCTTGTCTTCGCTTGCACAACTGATTGCAACTATAACAAAAGTTGGATGGTTCGAAGACGATGAATTCAAAAATATAACTAATGAACTATCAAAATTTATACAGGTAATTTTGTCTATTGTTAATTTATAATATTCCTGCTAATCTTAATAGCTACCCTTAAGAATTTGAATTGTCAGGAATAAATTACACATAATTATTTATGTGATTATATATGTAGTCTACTGTAGACCATAGGATTGTAGGTTTGCAAGTATTATCTACTGTCGTTGCTGAGATGAATCAGCAATCTCCGCGAAATATGGCAAGACAAAGAAAAACAGGTTTTTTATTTATGTTTTTTTTAAGTCATATTTTGTTACTATTTATTTTATTATTATATTTTATTATTATTATTATTTTATAAAAAAAGCTATTGGGTTTAGGGATTCTGAATTATTAGACATTTTCCGATTGGGTTTGGTAGTTTTACGTCAAATATTGAACGGAGAAATGGCGTTCACGAATGGTATTTTATAATCCTCTTTTCATAATATTAAATAAGCCTATTGTCTAAGTATATATAAAAATATTTGTTTTGATTTGAAGATAATCAAGAACGTAGAGTAAAAGAATATTGTTTGATATTGCTTCGCAATTGTTTGGCATTTGATTTCATTGGTACAACTCCGGACGAGTCTGGTGAAGACGTTGGAAGTATTCAAGTAAGTTAAACTATGAATTTTAATATGAATGAAATATAGTGTTTATGTATTTAACATGAATTATTTTCAGGTAACGTCTTCTTGGCGTTCAACAATCGAAGACCAAACTTTCCTTCAGACAATGTTCGAGGCTTATAAACGTTTTCAACCACCACATTCGAGTCAAGTATGTTTGATGATAATATTCTATTAAACATAATTCATAATTTTACTTAAAATATCGCCGTACATTTGCGTTCAAGGTTATGGAAGTGCTTGTTCAAATTTCTTCGATTCGTCGGTCACTATTTAATGAAGAAGAACGTTCTAAATTCCTTCATGCATTGATGCAAGGAATTAATGAAATAATAATAGGTTCAATAGGCTTGTCCGATTTGGACAACTATCACGAGTTTTGCCGTCTTCTTTCAAGATTTAGATCGACATATCAATGGAGTGAGATAACTGAGAAATCTGGATATAGTGATTGGATTGATTTGGTTGCCGATTTCACTATAAAAGGATTTAACAGTTGGCAGGTAATTAAATTTATTAAAATTAGTTTTATTCTTTAGAAATTAATAAAGGATGGAAAACATTTATTTTTAATTTACATTAGTTTGTACCAAATAGTATTCAGTATTTGCTTACATTTTGGTCCAAAATGTATTCGTCTGCTGGAAGTTCGCGTCCGGGTTCCACCAATAAATTAGATATAATTTCAAGCAAAGTAATTAATTTTAGTATATGATAATTTATCTTATTTAAGTTATTAAATATTAAAAATAATGAATGTTAATTGTTAGCTAACTGAAGCATATATAAGTTCTAAAATTCAATCAGTGGAACAAATATTAAATGGTTCTATCGATGGTACGTCATTTATGTATATGTATATAATTTGGTAACTTTATAAATTAATATTTTTCTTTTTTTTTTTGAAGATCCCCTGGAGAATGAAGATGCCCTCATAGACGATCTCGAAATGTTTGCAAATATTGCGCGTTATAAATATGATGAATCTCAGAAAAGCATTAATAATGTGTTTCAACCAATTTTCAATCAATATAAAGTATGGGTTTGTCAATACCTTTGTTAATTGCATAATTTTTTAGTCACTAACGGTATCCGGTTCAATTTTTACGTAGGAATTATATACACAAATGAACGCTGGAATTGTTGACGATTCCTATACCCAATTCTTTGATACAATTGAAAGTAACTTATTTGCAATTATTTTAATTTCAAAAAAATAATTTAATTCATTCTGATAATACTCCTTTAACACTTTATTAGCGAAATTTGCCTGGCTTATGTACATGATTGGAGGGATGGTTGGAGGTCGACAGGTAAAGAAGATTTTCGCATTTTACGTAAGTGTATAGCTATGATTAATTAGTATTTGTTGAAAGACTTATATTAGCACCGAAGATCAAGATTTGATAGATGGTGAGCTTACATGTCAGATTCTACAACTAATGGATATGAACGAGCAATGGAATGCACCGGTATTTATATACAATTTGTTTGTTCCATCGATCTATTTAATATCTTTATATTTCATTCCACTTTCTTTCTTTATTTATAACAGCGCACCAGTGGTAGTGGTTACGAAAAATTTGAATTAGCATTAATTTACTTTTTCCAGCAATTTCGCAAGAGTTATATTGGTGAAAGCGCACAAAGAGTTTCAAAAGTTTATAGCAAATTATCTGATATTGGATATAACGATCAATCTATGGTTTGTCATAATATTTATCTATCCTTCTGTCTTTATATTTTCTAGGGAGAAGTTTGTAACAGTTTATGATATTTATTAATCTTTGTCGATAGTTATTAAATGCTATTATTCAAAGGATGTAAGTTTCCCATCATTTTTTTATCTTGTAAAAATTTATGGTTATTTCATATATTCAATTTATTTTTAGAGCAAAGAATCTTGAAGGATGGAGCCATAGTTCAAAAATAATTCAACGTAGTGTGACATTGTTCAACGATTTGGCTGGCGGGTAGGATTTTATCAAGATTCGAATATATTTGATTTATAGATGATACTAATATATTACAAAATTACCTTTAGATATAGTTCTGTCAGGCTTCTGCGAAAACTTGATATTGTGCAGTATATTCTACGAAACCACACCATTAAAAATTTTCCTTTTCTTGACACTACAAATAATTTGCGATCGCGTATGATCTATTATTCCGCTCTTTCAAGAATATTATTTGCAGAGGATAATGTTGAAAGAGACTTTGAAAATTTTGTTAAACCTTGGGATATCACACTGACCGAACTTGGTGCTTTAAATTCACTAGATGCTTTTAGACAGCCGGCTGTTAAAGTGAGTAGTTACTTACAACTAAATTATTAGTAGGAATTATTAAAAAATTTCTTTGATTGTATAAATTAGGCGACCATTTCGGGTATTTTTCGCGATTTGAGAGGATTTCTTTCTGCAATTCAGAGCAGAAAGAATTTTTTGGTGTTTTTTGAATGGTTTTACCCTCAATATATTCCAATTTTATATTATGCATTAGAAGCTTGGGATAATGATCCATTAGCAATTGCGATTTTAAAGTTTTTTCTAGAATTTGTAAATAATAGATCACAGAGATTGAATTTCGATATTTCCTCACCAAATGGTATTTTATTATTCCGGGAAACGAGGTATATGTTGCAGCATCATTTAATCGCGCGTTTGAGTATATGTGTTTATTTATTAAAATTTTTTTTTCTTTCGAAAAACCTTGACAGTAAAGTAATCTCGACTTATGGTAATCCGTTAACTATATTATTTTATTTCGTTATTCTGGATCATTACACAAACTTCATGTTATAATTTTTTAGGACGGCAAATTATTGGACGTCCTTTTAATAGTCAAGATAAATATGCTGAAAAGTAGGTAATATGATGTTATGCAAGATATTTTTCTTGAATTTAAATTAAATTTATTCTTATTTTACCTAGATATAAAGGAATATCAATTTGTTTTAGTATCTTAACGAAATCCTTTGCGGGAAGATATGTCAATTTTGGAGTTTTCGAACTTTATGGCGACAAAGCTCTTGAAATAGCTCTCAATACCTCGTTCGAAATGATGCTTTGTGTCCCATTCGATGATATCCTTGTAAGAAATATAATTCGTATATTAATAATTCTTGAGAAATCCAATTAATTTTTATTTGTATTAATTAATCTCAGATGTACCCAAAACTTTCAAAAACGTTTTACGATTGGCTAGATACATTCACTAACGAACATATGATGGCATTATCTTCTATGAATTCAAATGCATTCCTTTATATTATGCGTGCTCTTGCAGAGGGCATTCAACAATTTGATATCCTTTTACAGGTCATATTGGGTTAAGAAAATCTCATTATCAATTTTCATCCTTAATAGTTCCTACATGGTTCCCAATGTTCTGCTGCTTGTAGTGCGATTGACCATATTTGTACTTTTGTAATCCAACAAACTGCCAAACAAAAGCCAAAACAACATTGGCTCCTCTCTTATTTAACCCAATACCCAAATATATTGCCTTATTTATTTACAGCCAACTTTAGTGCAGTGCTATTCGAAGAACGTCAAAATCAGTGGTCGCTCTCACGTCCATTACTTTGTTTAATTTTGCTGAACCCAGATGTAAGATTACAAATTATCCATAATATTTACTCCTTTAGAACCTTAATAATTAATTTATTATATATTAATTCTCCCGTTTAAAAAAAAGTACTGGGAACAGTATACTCGTAACCTAGTTTTATACCAATTGCCTGAAAGAAGAGATATCCTTGCAAAGGTGAAATATATTTATCACAAATAAAATTTATATTGCTAATGTATCAATAGTTTTATATCTTTTTTTTTATTTCATTAGGCATTGTCTTCATTAATGCAAGATGTTGAAATTAGTCTGATATCCAAAAATAGAGATCGATTTACCCAGAATCTCAGTACATTTAAAAGAGAATTAACGAATGATAATGTTATATTGGTAGCACCACCTATGGATATGAAAATGACTATGTGAACTTCAAGGTTTATTTTTATTTCTGATCACTTGGATCATTGTATCGATAATAGCATTATTGTATATTTATCTCTGGAAGGCAAAAAGTTTTTTATTTTAATAATTAAATTATCTTGTATTAATTAAATTACCTTTTGTGGTTTACAAAATTTTTATTCCATGGATTTAACTCGATTGTTTTATTATATTTTACAGACTTTAGACTTTTACTTTCATACAATTCATTAACAAGTTAAAGTGATGATATAGTAGCTTATATTTATTCTCATTTTATCTATTTAACCAGATTTCGGCTCGCATCTTGCTATTTTACTATTATAATGAATCGAATTTTATTTTGTTTTAAGTTGTAAAATAATATAATTTATTATTCTAATTGATTATTTTATATTGTGAATTTTTTTGATTTTTTTTATAACAGAATATTATAAATATTTAGACAAAATCGAGATGTGGTTATTGAGACAAAATTGTAAATAATAAATAATGATGATATAAAAGTTAGCATAATAAAATAGGACCATTATTAATTAACAGTATATAGATATTAATAAATACAAAAGTTGAAATTAGTTATTTTAAGGACTGTAAAAAGGTCTTAAATTGAATAATTAGTTAAATATTCTTTAAATATAACCTGCATTTGGCCATAATTTACTTTAGGATAAACGATCAGCAATCCATAAAATTTATAAAATGATGACTGGATGTCCAACCGGCACGTGACTAAGTACACCTAAACAGCGTGGCTTCAAAATAAGCATAAAAGAATGAAAGATTCCTCTTATTTAATGGCAAATTATATCCAAAAAGGAATATTCTGTTACTTTATTATTTTAGTTGGTTTGAAGAAAACCTATACCTAAAATTTTTATGCTAAGAGATCATTAAAACTGCTGTAAATGATTTGCGTAAAATGTCATAAAATTATCCTGTTGAGTGGCGGATCTCCAATATCTACAGCTCTATCTAATACTAATAACTTGGAATCCAATTGCTCTAAAACTTTAATAACCAGGCACTTTACACTTTAATTATTTTTTTGTAAAACAAAAAAAAAAGAAAAAAAAATTCCTTAATAAAAATTATTCAGTATATAATAAATTTATATATACCAAATTAAATATTGTATTGTAAATATTGTTTGGTTAATTTAAATACACTTTGTATGCTGTAAATATAATATAAATCTAATTATTGTGTTTAAATAACATAGATCCTACTCGTTTTTTCCGTCGTTCACGAATTAATTCTCTATGTCTATCAATATCTTTTTGTGAAATATCAGATACTCCTTTACGACGACGGAAACATACCTATTAAATATAAATAAATTATATTTTAACAATAAAATACAATGTTCAAATAAATATTTTACTTACATCTATCAGTTTATGACAGTCAAGCAAGCACTTTGGCATATTCTGTGATTCAATATTGACAAAGATGAGTCTTTTTTTTTAAAAAAAAAAAATATAAGCAAGAACTCATTTACCTGAACTAGCTGAAATATTTCCATCGGATCATCTATTGCTAAAATCTTATCCTCATTTAATTTAATAATTGCTAAAGCTACACGAAATAAAACTTTATTACCTTCACTGTAAATAAACCTTATTTTAGTATTGCATGTATAAAATTGAATTTTCTTGAACATAAACTTAAAGCACTTACTAAAATAAACAATCCCACACTCTTAACAATGTCTATAAAGAAAGGAGAAAAATTATTATCCAAATAAATCATTATATATTTAACGTTCTAAAAATAATTACCTCGATTGGTAAAATGTTAATAAATAACGTCAAAAACCAATGACTTGTGACAAGCGTAATTGTTGGCATATTTCCATCTAATTTATCTACATCCCAACCAAATCCTCCGCTTAATCTGTTCCATATTTGTGGCATTTTTTCCATTATTAAGATCATGAGAACAGCTTGATCAACATTTGCACCTTCCATTGTCACATCATACATATTTTCAGGCAAATAATCATGAATGATAGTTACTAACATCCAAAATGCCTTTTCCTCTTCCATAAAAAGTAAAAGAATTCCAACCAAGTAATTAAGAGATTGACAATAACCAATGTTAGGTGAATATAATGAAAAAGCTATTAGTACACGACGTAGTGATTGAATGATTGGGACATTATCAGTTGAGATAAAAGTTGAACCATCTTCTGAAACTACTGTAGATTTAAATTTAATATTTTCAGGAAAAGTGCGATGAAGATCTAACAAAATTAATAATTAGTAATCATCTTGAAAACGTTTAAATGATAATTCATTTATCCAACCTCTTTCAATAACTTCCACATACTCATTTTCGTACCGAGGATCTTGCGCTTTGATTAATAATTGTTGATAAAAGTCCATATGATCCCTCATCTTTGCTTCTGCACCACTAAAATGGAACCATGCCTATAATATAATAAGAAATTAAATTTGAATGAATAAAATTTTGATTATTACATGATAGTTGATAAAAATATATATACCTCTCCGCGTAATGATGGAGGTATACCTTTACGTACATATCTCTTCACTTTATAATTAATAATTAGATATGTTAGAAATAAATGCGGCTAGAAACATTTCTCTCCATTTTTATTTGACAATTTTTATGATATTAAACGTGTAGCTCACTTTTTGAACATCTGTCAGGTATGACACCACCATTTTCAGCAATAGCAGCGTCCCATTTTTGTTTACGTCTATGTAGGACTTGTATGTAAGATGATTCAAATTCATTATATTCCTTTTTGGTAATCCATTGAAATGACCTTCTAAAACCATATTGATCCCTAAATTATTTATACGCGTAAGATGAAACGCGCATATAAAAAAAATTGTACATGTAACATCTTCATCATTAAATATATTACCTATCACTATCTTGTTGCTGTTGAATATGTTCATCTAAGATTTGTTGTGACAGAGTTGAATCTTGCGATTTCGTTGGAGTTACTTCAAGTGAATTTGACACTGAATTCGGTGCATCCTCGAAACTACTTGTAGAAGAAGGTCTTGTATGATAATCATTATAATCATTATAATCTTCAAGGACACTGCTTCCTGAAGGAGAAGAAGTACGATTTTCTGAGCTACTTCTTTTCGTGTCTAGAGGGACTGTTAAACTGTTAGATCTTTCTTCAGTTTTATTGCTAGTGAGACTTTCTCTATTTTCCACATTATTATATGAGCTAAAATGAGTAAAAACGTATCCTGGACTTGGTGGTGGAGGGGAAAAAGAACCAGAAGCAGTTTTATAGTTAAATAACGAACTAAGTGGACTTGAATAATTTGAAGAGACTAAATTGGAAAATGCAGGTGAGGGACAATCAAAAGAAGGCTGTCGTTTTAGGCTGCTTATACTATTAGTGCGAGGGTGTAAATTTAGGGAAGGCCGCTTTTTCACAGCATTTGCTGCATGACTCCAAGTTGAGCCATTGTAAGTTCTCTCTTCACCACGTGACGAGTACTCGTCAAATAGTGACGAATAATAAGAGTCTCTAGGGCTGGAAGTTTCGGCAAGCATTCACTAGACTTTTATCAAATATATACGATCTTTTTTTCTTGGAAATTTTAAAAGGAAAGAGTCTCTATATACATGTATGTGATATGAATGATGGAGAAAATGATAGTCGAATTTATAAGGTAATATTAAAACTGTAAAGTAGGGAGAATTGAAGGAATCTGACTATAGTTGGAAGAAAGAAAAGCAACTTAGAGTTGCGAAAGCCCAAGAAAAAAAAAAAATGAATGGCTCGTTATGTAGAAAAATAAAAAATAAATAAAAAAAAAAAATAAATATAAATATAAAATCAGTTGATAGTTTGTTACAAAAACCTTACGTAGTTAAATTAGGGGTGGGTGTTTGTTTTTATTGTGACTTTTTCAATGCATGGAGAATCGATAAACGAAGATTCTCAAATCTCAATATATAAATAGTAAACATAACAATTTGATTGATACATAATGTGATATGTTGTGTTCAGTTTTGTCACTTCTAATTGGGTTCCTAAAAATACATTAATTCTTCATGCGGTGATTTATAAACTTACGTTTCATACAATATTAAACCGGCCCGAAAGGGAAGTCAGTTCTCCACAGAATTTCTTTGAAACTCTCGAAGAATGCTAGATTTTTTAGCGAAGTTTATTATTTATGATAAATAATTATATTTAGATGATTACGTTAGAGTGGATTAGATGTAATAATGACGATCGTATTTTTTTAAATAAATTTGTAATATTCCAAATTATTCAGGTCGATTTTAGGAAAAAAATCTCGTTTAGCATGATTATGATAAAGATATCAATCATTATAAAAAAAGAGGATTTCATTTGAATGCAGATTATAATAATCATAAAATTGTCTTGTGAAAACTTCAAATTAATTAATTGATTAATTAAAATATGCAAAGAATGGACAACTTGGTCACATCAATGCTGGATTTTCGCTGTCTTTTGGTTTGATTAATCTATCTTACATATTAAAAAATTCTATGCTTCCAACTGAATTCCCACTCCAAATCTTGCTGTGCTCTGGCAGAAATTATGATATTATTCAAAAGAATTCGTTAATCATAACCAAATAACATTATGTTTGAAAAATTAATAAACACTTACCTTCATATGTTCGATGTCACCAGTGATAATAAAGCTGAATCCCGGAGCAATTTTTTGTTCTATAACGGATGAGATGCGTCCTGTTGTGTCAATCTATTACGATACATGATCAAAGCAAAATATAGAGTCAATTATTATACGTAAAATTAAGTAATATTTACATGATTTATTTACCTGTCCTCTAAAAGTAGCGGCTCGAAAATCGAATTTACCACCCTTGAAAATAATTCGAACAATTAGCATCGGCTTGGTTGGCTTCTTGACAAAGTGAGACTAACACCAGATCAGCTACATACTACTGTGCAAACTGCCTCTCTTCGACCTGATGCGACAAGTATTTGTAATTCTGTTCCAAAATCTACTTTTTCGCTGATTTTTTGATAGTATGATGCCTGTAAAGCACCGATTTCCTGCCATTGTAAGGTTGCAATGCAATCTGTTCCGGTATATTTTGCTACCAAAGATCTGGTAGTTTCTTCAATATCAGGGGTTGGCTTCTGATATACATTTTCAACTCCCAATGCTATTTTTTGTGTTACAGATTGAAAATAACTGAGAATGAATATTCCAGTATTTTCAACCGGCGAAGGATTAATAGTTTTACAATTTATAGAATAATCTGTTCCTTGATAATCTTGTTCTAATTGAAGCATCGAATGCCCTGGTGATGGTGATATCTTGATAAGCAATATGATCAATATGAAGAAATTTATAGGCAATTAAATAAATTTAATTCTCTTTAATAATATTAAATAAAAAGAAGTGAATGATGTTTGGTAAGAACTCACATGAGCCTGAAGTTTAGTCACATTATTTGCATTCCATGCATAATTCATGCGTGCTGTTAAGTTTCCTTCTGTATCAATGGTGCCATGAAGAAAAGACTAATAATATTATAATTACAATAAGAATAAGGCTCATATAAAAAAAAACGGCACAAAGTTCAGTAATTTTGAACTTACATTTATACCAATAAAAGCGGCTCCGAAATTGTACATTGGAGGGGATATTGTTGAACCCATTGAGAATGAATGAGTCACCTGAAGATGTTGTGATAGAACCTTTGTAAGGTCAGCCCTACCTCCATCAAACAAGTGGTTCGTCAAAAAAGTGGCTGTAAATAAGAAAAATAAAAAAATATTTGTGGTTAACGGATACGCGTATTCTCTAATTCAAAGAACGCGGTCTTAAGATGTTCGTGACAGCTAGTTTATGATCGATTAAATAACTTTCTTCTGTACAAAAGGACACATTTATTTCATACCTTTAACCTCTTTATGGAGACCTTCGAAAGTGCCTGGATTGGGCAAGTTAAGTTTCTTTCTATATTCTGATATCCCATTAAAGATAGAACTCAAGCTCCACGGTGTGATCATAGGTGCTGTTGTTGTCGTCGAAACTTTTTCACCCAAGCCGGCCATACTGTGCACTTTAAAAGAATGGTCCCGCGTTATTTTTTCGGAAGGGTCTTAATCAAGAAAATGGAACTGAAAATTGTAGATAAAAAAATTTTTTGATCGTTGTACTACCGAGAGCAAGAGAAAGTTTTTTAATTGGTTGACGATCATTTTGATCAGTGTAATTATGATTGGTTAGTAATCACCTTATGTATATGATACGCGTCTTACTGACATCAATCGCTTAAAACGCCTTCTAACATCAATGTCAGTCATCATACGAAAGGAATGATTCAAATAGTTTATAAAAATCCTCAAACCCGAAAATGTACGTCAGCTAATCCTTTAAAACAAGTCGTCACCACGTTCTTGCCGTCTTAGATCAGGAGAACCAGCGGAATCGCTTTGGAAGCTTACATTATGATTCTTCAAGATCTTACCATTCAAACTATGGTGATTTTTTAAGAAAATCCAGAAATATCAATAAGAAGAATATCGCCCAATCAAGAACATTATGACAAGGCAAACAATAAGACATCAGATGTTCATAGAGGCCATGGGAAGAAATATTGGAGGACTGGCGAAAATATCTACAAATGGGATATTTAGAAGTATGGGGATATTCGCGAATCAAGGGTAGGATGTATAACATCAAAATGGTTGAAATATATTCATAAACTATAATGGTGAAGTAATACTCCTGCGAAATAGAAATTCCGTATCTAGATTTACCTTTAGCACTATATATTCGTTAAACTAATATCACAGTACTTATTTCCAGTACATATTTACACAAATGCTTTTTATTTTATATCTAAAATGAATGGTAACTATTGCTATACTTTACTCAATACCAAAATAATAGTCTTAGATAAACTGCATTTATGGCAATAAAATACATTTCTTACTATAAAGTAGGCAAGTACTATCCTATACCACCTACTGTAACTTATTTGCATCAGCCATCAGATAGATGTTATAGTATGATTCCTTTCAGTCAGATGAAATTTCTTTATCAGTTATTATCTTTATTATCTTTATTATGAATTACTTTTTACTATAACATATTTAAATCATTTAAGACTGCTTAAAATTGAACAACTAAAATCTTATGTTTAATTTATAATAAGTAACTTCTAATTTATTGACTGTTATTAACCATAAATATATATTAAATAATTTAAATTAGATTTAAATTGGATTCTGCTATTCATTATTATATAGTGACTAATCCATTAAACATAGTTCTAACTTTAATTCTAAAGTTACTAGAGAAATTAAAGGGGTTTGACAAGTTAAAAAGTAAAACTTGGTAAAACTAATTGAATGCTAAAACTGTTAAAAACTAATTAGTAATAGCAAGACTGGAAAAGTTCTACCAAAACTAATTTTGGTAAAATTAATTATAGGATTTTGAAGGAATTTAGACAAGCAACTTTAATCCTAATTTTAATATTAATCTTTAAATTTTATTATAAAATCTATATATTTAAATAAATCTATATATTTAAATATTATTAAATAAATATTTTCTTAAAATTTATATATATAATTTTTATTAAGAATAATAATATATTTGTAATATCCTATTACCAGCATGTTTATTTGTAATATCCTTTAAAATAAAATGACAAAAAAATTTATAATATATCAATATATAATAAATATTATAGGATTTGTATTGAAATTAATTAAGGGAAAATCATTTTACTTTTTATTTACTCTGAATTATTTATATTGACTTACTACTCACTATTCTTAAGGATTCTATACTTGACCTATATTTTATACAGCTACCTGATATACTAATATTCATTTTACCTGTTTGCACATATAATACTGATAATGAAGATTATGGTATAATAAAAAATCACATGTCTTAAAAATCAAATAATTAATTATCAAATCAATAATTTGATTTTTATAAATAACTCAACTTTAATCACCTTATTTTAAACCAACATAGATTCTATTACTAAAGAATTTTATTATTTTAATAATACTATAGCTACCATATAGCATTAACTAAGAAATCACTTTCAGCATGCATATCTCTATATAAAATACCTGTTTTAATATATCAAAAATGTAATATATAGATCTATTTTATTTTTCAAAAATTAGAATATTTAACCAATATTATAAATCAAATTTAAAAGTACATATCTAAATATAATTCAATTTTTTAAATTGCTAAAATTAATATAGTAAGAGTAGTGACATATATTAGTTACTTCCCACCTCCAGGTAAGATTTTATGACCAATAACAACCATTTCACATGGTTTATATTATGTGTAACCTAAGATTTTCTTTTACTCCCCTACCCCCTAAAATATTAGCTAATATATGTCATTGCCCTAATCACAATAAATATATTTTAATTACAAATATAATTGCCAATTTTACAAATTCCAATTTAACTCCTATTAGATTTGATTTGATTTTCTTATTTTTTAATCTTATTACAAATATCATCATTACTTCTATTCTGATGACCACTTTCTTTTCTTAATATATAATTCAATATTAATAGAATTCAGGATTTTATTAAATTACAAATTAAACCATTACCATAAAATCTCGAATTTAAGCATCACTTTTTTACAATCACGTGATTGAAAAATTTGGATTTTTTTGATCAGTATTATACACATTACACTTATTTTTTTAAAAAAAATTTTTTACGCATTTTATGTTAAAGATTTAAACTATTTTTTATTGAAATGACATAGAAAAAAGTAGGTGTAAAACAGCATACATCATATTCATTTGAAGAAAAATTAGTAGTAGTTAAGTATGCTCAAAAAAATGAAAGAAATGCTGCAGCAAAGCATTTTAATTTAGATGCTCTGATAGTAGGAAAATGGATAAAACAAAGTAGTAGTTAGAAGAAAACAAAAAAAAGAAACGTGCTAGAACTCCAGGAAAAAAAACCTTTTATCTTGAAGCAGAAAAGGTTTTGTATAACTGAATAGTTAAACAAAGAAAAAAAAAGTTTGCTATTAATTATATTTCAATGAGATTACAAATGTGTAAAATTCTCAAAGAATTTGCGATTCAAATATTATATCAAGTAGGAGAGTATAAATTTCAAGAGAATCTGTTTTGGATTAATTCTTTTATGAAATGATTTGATTTGTCATTAAAAAGGAGAACTAAAATTTCACAAAAACTGCCTAAAGATATAGAACAAAAACTGGATGGATTTTAACAGTTTGTTATAAGGCTGAAAACACAATTTTCTAATATCTGAATCCTAAACAAAAAATTTATATAATTTTTCATTAAATCTAAGGTCATCCATCCATTATCTTGGAATCAGCAAATAACACCTTTTAGAATAACTTTACCTCTAGGAAGTTGTTTATCTTTGAAAATACAAATTGGTGAATATTTTGTACCATCTAATAAGTAATTATAAATTTATTAGATTTGAATAAATATATATAAAAAAAATAAAATTTAATACCTGCTGAACAAATTAAAATTACGGTAAAATAATTTTTATCATTTCCAGTAGTACAAATGTATACTGTTTTATCTCCTTTATTATTAGCTGTCATGTTTCCTGCTATATTAAACTACACAAGGGTTTCATTCATATTGAAAATGTTATTCAAATCAAAATTATATTTATCAAAAAAGCCTGCCATGATAGTTTATGATTCTTTTCGTAGTTATTAAGAGGAAAGTGTTAAAACTAAATTTAAGTAACATAATTTCCATTTAGCTGTTATTCCTGCAGAATTAACCAGTACAGTCTCCTCTCTCTACAACGAACCTCGATATAACGAATAATATGATATAACAGATCATCCAATGTAGTACCAATTTTAAATATAAAAAAAACCTTGGTATAACGAAGTCTACTATTTATTTATTGTATATATATAACGTAGTATGAAGTAAAGTGTGTAAATTGCTTATATAAATATGCCATTTGGTATAATGGATTTTTTACAACGAATTTTTTTTTTATTATAACGAAGAATTTTTGCAGTTTTTAATTGAACATTCTTTAGTAATACTGGTAAATTTTTTGTAATTTTCTATATAAGATAATTTACTTCTTGCTATTTTGTTAAATATGGTAATTATTTATATAAAAATGGATTTTTACACTATACTTATCATTACTTTCATTTATTCTTCTCTTTAATATCAATAATATGCCAAAAGAAACTCCTAGAAAGCGTAAATCACTCATATCAGCCCAAAAAAAAGGAGGTTTGTTTAAAGAAAATATCCACTCCTTTTTTAAAACAAAAGGACTTAGCAAAAGAATATGATGTTAGTGAAGGAATAGTGAGTGATATTCTGAAAGAGAAAGACCGATGGCTTGCAATAGATAATGATTCATATTAAGCTAATTTGAAACATGAAAAAAAAACTCAGTTTCCTATTATTGAAGAAGCACTTACTATCTGAATAGATAAAGCACTTTAAGCTGGACTTATTTTTACTTAAAGTATTTTGACAACAAAGGCATTAGATTTTGCCTTATTGTGTAATGAAGAAAAATTCAAAGCATCAAATGGGTGGCTTGATAATTTTAAAAAGAGACATAATCTTAAGCAGTACAATATTCATGGGGAAGGAGGTAGTACACCAATTCAAGATTTTGATTCAATGAGAGAAAAACTTCGTCAAACATTAAGAGATTATGAATTTATGATCCAAAAAATATTTTTAATTGTGATGAGACGGGTCTCTTCTGGAAAATGAAATCAAATCGTACAATATCTAATAGTTCTATAACCAGAACTAAGCAATTTAAGGATCATGTAACTATTTTATTTACCTGCAATTCAACTGGAACTGAAAAATTGCGCTCTCTATTTATACATAAATATGAAAATCCCAGAGTGCTTAAAAATATTAACAAAAATTCCTCCTGGTCAATTATTATTGGAATAAAAAAAGTTGGATGCAAGTGTCTATCTGGAATGATTATCTTAAAAAATTAGATTTTTATATGAGAGCACAAAATAGGCACATACTTCTACTTGTTTACAATGCTCCAACATATGCTTTATCTGAAAATACAACTCTTATGAATATTGTCATTGAATACCTTCCTTTAAATACCACATCTTACCTTCAACTCTGCGATCAAGGAATCATTAATAGTTTTAAAGTAAAAAGTAAACTTTATTTGTTCACTATAATTGTTTTAAATTTAATGTTGATTTTTTTATTTTAGGCACAATATAGAAAGTTGTATTTGCGTAATCGGGTTAAAGCTTTTGATAATTTCAATGAACATGGCACTGAACTTGGTGAAATTGACATTAAAAAATATATCAAATATATTGCACATGCGTGGGATAATGTTACGAATAATACAATCAAAAATTGTTGGCTAAAAGCAGATATTATACCTGAATATAGTGAGTCAAGTGATGATGAAAATATTAACTATGAAGTTTATAAGAACAATGCTGATATACAACTTGAACTTGAATGCCTAAAGGAGTTGGAAGAAATTCAAGTCTTAATAAATAAACTTGATTTTGAAGATTCTTTCATAGCTGAAGAATTTGTTCTTTATGACGATTCTGAGATAACAATGGAAATGATTTCTGATGATGAAATTTAAAAAGCAGTTCAATCTAACAATTCAGAAAAAGAAGAAATTGAGGAGAAACCTTTACCAACAATAACTCATAATGAAGTTATTGAATGTTACGATAAAGTGATTTTATATTTACAATGTCAGGAAAATAATTATGGTTCA